GGTATTCCTCCTCAGGGGCAGGACTTGGGATATCCTTTTGTAGAATACTATGGGGTTCCTCTCAGCCCATTTCTCCAGCCTACCAAGGTCCCTCTGGATAGACAGCATGACACTGGTCTATCAGCCACTCCTCACAGTTTTGTGTCATCAACAAAATTTCTGAGGCTACACTCTGCGACACCATACAGGTCATTAATGAAGATGGTATTAAATAGGATTGGATGTTGAAGAGGTTATGGGTCAGTATTGACTCTTGACTGCTAGTTACTGGTCTCCAACTAGACTTCACGCCACTGATGACACCCCTCTTGGCTCAGCTGTTTGGCTCGTTTTAAATCCATCTCACTGCTCATCCAGCCCATATTTCATCAGCTTCTCTGCAAGAATCTTATGAGACAACATCAAAAGCCTTAGTGAAGTCAAGGCAATCATCTACTGCTCTCACTTTGTCTACCAACCTAGCTATTTCATTGTAAAATGTTTTCAGGTTTGTCAAGCATGACATTGTGATCCATGATGATGACTCCAAATCACCTTCTTGTCCATCACATTCCTGGAAATTGTTCCCAGGATTAGTTGTTCTGTCACCTTCCCAGGGATTGAGATGAGGCTGACTGGCCTGTAGTTCCCTGGGTCCTCCTTCTTGCCTGTTTTGAAGATAAGAGTGATATTTGCTTTCCTCAGGTATCTTTCCCAAGTGCCATGATTGTTCAAAGTTAATGGCCTCACACTGACATTAAGCCAGATCCCTCAGCACTCTTGGGTGCATCCCATTAGTGCCCATGTATATTCAGTCTGCTGGATTGGAGCAGCATGAATCATGGCTACATATGCCAGCCAAGGGACCTTATTATGTGACAGTAGCTTAAAAAAATCACTTGCAGTTCTCAGAGAAACTTTAATTTCCACTTTAAAAGGGCCTACTTTCATAACCTGTTTATATGAACAGAAGACATAGATAGCAATCCATTATCTTCTCTCTGTGGCACCTACTGCCCATGATGTGGCTTCATAATGTTACCGACAATTCCCATTTTCTCCATCCAGAGTAGCATGGGCAGAAAGATTAATAGGACAGTTAAGGAGAGTGAAGAGGAAAGAAAAGTTAGAATGAATAAGCAACATAAATCAGTAAAGGAAAAAAATACAGGACAAGGAAAAAAAAGCAGCAAGTAAAAAAAAAAAACGCCCAAACAACCAAAAAGCAAAACGAGCTTTCTCTCACTCTGCCTAGAAAGAGGAATCCTGGTCCAGTTCCAGGTGAAACAATATCATCTTGACAGCAGGATTACTAAAAACAGTGCAAGGAAAAGTCAGAGAAAGAGAAAGAGCTCATTGGGAGCATACATAGATCAGTAAAGCAATGGTATTCACCTGTGTGTGAGATGCAACTCCAACACAGGCCCCTGTTGTAGGATCTTTTTCAAAATGAGCACAGGTCAAGGCACAAAAAGGAAGCTCTGAAATACCACTGAAAGTTAAATGCATGCTCCATTAAAGAGAGAACAATCCTTTCCGCTAATGATGTGGAAAAGATAATATAACATGTCACCTCTGAGCAGCTTCAGGTTATTGATTTGGTGCCAGTTTTAGGGACAGTCATTGTCTTTGCAAGTTGACATTGACCAAGCTGCCTCTTTGAGACATTTGCACAAGCTATCATTCCCTTCCCTCCAGCTTCTCCTTCTTACTCTGGGAAGTGGAACAGAGTGCCGATCCAGGACCATTTGATCAGTCTCAGAAACATGCATCCTAAATCCACTGAAAGAGATAAAAACCTGCTGCTAGCTTCAGCAATGGCCCTGAGACAGCAAATACAAGGGAAGGTCAGATGGGGGAAGTAGACAAATGGTGCTCCTCCTGTTAATCCTCATTATGATGGCACTGGTGTATCCAGAGCCAAACTTCAGATTCTGACACCACTTCAGCTCAGTGAAATCAGGAGGTCCAACAGACAATGCTTGCCACCACCTCCCACACCTTTGAATTTTCATGGGGCCATTGCACTCCACTGTGCTTCCCTTTGCACCATCTGCAGATCCTGCAAGTGGAAGACCACAGCTGGGATGGAAGCAGGAATGGGACTGGTGTCCCGGGTAATGATCAGGAGAGATGTTAATGTCAATAGGGAGGGAAGAACTTCCACTTTCACTTTTTCACTATGAGTACTAAGTTCATGAAAAATTCTTAGCAGAGAATGCAGCAAACTTTTCTCTTTTGTGCATACATTGCTTACTAGTGAGGCAGGATTCCTTCAAGCTGAGCATAGCCAGTGTGCCTCAGTCCTGGCATACCAACGTATCTTAACATATATTAAGTGCCCATCATTTTAGCAGCTAAGCAGTATCACATTCCATTTAGCACATACACAGAATTTTATAGAGCAGAGCACTGTACAAATCCTTTTCCCTTAGGTTTTTCTACATACTCGTCGCAGTGATATGCATCTGACCAATTAAAGCAAAACAGCTTTAGTTAATTAACTCTAAGGGACTGAGTGGCTCCCTGACTGAAAGTCGTAAGAGTGGGTTTTGATATTATGAGTGCCACTGATTAACTCTCAGACACTGGACAATTCACTTCATCTTTCTATGCTTGATTTTTCCCTGGTGCAAAATGTAGATAAATAAAATTTGTTTTCTTTGGTGAAGTGCTTTTGAGAGCTGTGAATGAAAAGAGCTATGCATCATCAATGAATCCTCAAAAAGACCTGATGGGAGATTTATGGAAATAGCACTGTCTTCAGGGTGCTTCTGGAAAACTGAGCCACAACCAAGTAAAGCAACAAAGGGCCAAAACCTCACTGAGAGGTGACAGTGGGGACAGGATGAGAATTTAGGGTTGCCTGACACCTTGACAGCCACTTGTTCCTCCAGACTAGGCTGGCAAGATGGCATCTTTCTCTCATTTCTGCCCATGGCACCTGATTCTCACCCCACCAGCTACTAGATTGCATGTCTTCACTTCCACATTGTTTTATTTACCCTCGCCATCCTCCCCCCTCAGCAAATCAACACATCCAACCACTTCCAACACCTGATAACCTCTGCAAATTTCTCTTTCTGGCTTCGGGGATATTCCTGTTCACTGGGCTGAATTCACTATACAGTGTCATATGACTATACACATCCTTCAGAGTATTTTTTCAGACTTCCACTAGGCTCAAGATCTTAAATACTGCTGAGTTTTTACCAAAAGCTTTGCCTCAGGAAAAACTGATACCAGCATATTTCCTTTCATTCTTTTCCTAATACTCTATCATTATTCAGTTTTATCTTATCCTTTCATTCTACTTAACTCCATATAGTTGTAAGTCCCAAAGCTAACACACCAGTTCCACTGTACATCATTAGCCAGAGCAAGATAAATAATTTCCACCTGCTAACTGATTTGATTATTTTTGTAACTGAGGAATGGAAGTGAACAGAACTGAATTTCCTCAGATTCTGTCAGTATTTTAATAAATATCCTTTTTTAAAAAAAAATTCTTTGGACTTGCTGGTCAGTATTCCTACTTTTGGCAAAGAGTAAGTAAGTTTGGAGCAGCTAAATAAATCACTATATTATTTCTGTTCTACAACTGATTGAGATAAAAATATTGCTTGCACAAAATTTTGTCCATGTCAACTAAACATTCAGTTCTGAAAAATTTTAAAATTAGATTTCATTGTAAGAGAAGTGTGAGTGAAAAACATCACATGAACATTTACTACCTCTCATTTTTACTTTCTCAGGGTAAAGAAAACCATATTACGGTAGAGAAGAAAATAGCAAGGTCTCTTCTGGGATCTGGAGGCTGAATACCATGACTTGACTAATGCCTCAGCTCTCACTGCAGGTGGTACGAGAAGGACAGAGTAGTCTGCAGGCCAGCAGATAATAGCCCTAAGCCTACTGAGGAAATCAATGCTTTTGACTATGTTTTGGCCAGAGTTTATTCTCAAATTAGAATCAAAACCCAAATCCCATTATTCCTCTACAAGATCCAATTTTTCTCCACAGGCTTCAGGATGCTTATAAAACTATAGGAGTTTATGTGTTTGGTTCTACTTCACCAATAAGATTCTGACTTCTGCTGGTAGCTCACATACAGTCAAAGAGAGACCAGCTCAATGCATCTGATATTGCTGCCTTTACAATAAAAAGGCAGGAAAGGGTGGTTTCTAGGGATTTATCACTAGCATGAGCATACTATGTCAATTCATCCTTCCAAGACAGAAGGAAAAAGCAGTAACACTGTTTTCCTGTGCTGTTCCTACCCATATTTAATCCCTAAAATTTACTGCTTCTTTACTGCAAAAGTGACTCTTTCTTTACATGATTAAAAGTCGGAGGAGTTGTAGAACTGGGGGAGCATAATGAACATCCAGGGCTTGCTTTTGCAATTATCTCTATCTCTTCTTGCATTTAATATGGTATAAAACATTAAATGTTCCAAAGTTGTCAGCCATTACAGTTGTATAAAACAGATGTTAGTGAAGTAAGAAATGAGCTCTTTCATTTAGGTGAAAAATCTTTTGCTAACAACCCCAAATCTTGAATTGCAGAATAATTAGAGCCTGTGTTATAGGTAGACAGCACAAACTTCCTCCCACGTTGCTTCCTCTCTCAGTAGTATGTTTCAATCCCACCTACAGGAGGTGGAAGGGGAAACTTCTGACTTCTAGCCTGTCAAGTTTCTTTCTTTGTTAAGCCTAGTAAGGAGGTTACCAGCTGTGGTACTATTTTTTCCCAAATTGGAAATTTTACTGAAAACAGCTGTTGTTAGCGAATGAATACTACAGAGATTTGTAAAGTATGACTTACTTAGACAGAAAAGCGATGAACAGACCAACAGATAAACTGACAGATACAATGCAAACTTATCAGACACTGCTAATGCTATTGGTGGCAGTGCTACCTCATTTCAAAGTCAAATCAGTGACTTAAGAGTAAAAGACTTCATATCCTGCTTTCTGCCCCCTGCCATCATCAGAGGACCAAATAGAAATTGCATTTACCTGTAGATCAGGACTTCATCATCCGAGCAATTATACTGCAGCTGATACATTTTTACCCGAGGGGCCGACTTGCTCACCGTCCACTTGACCAAAGCTGAGGTAGTGGTCACATCTGACACCAGGACAGCCCTTTCTGATGTGCCTTTTGTTTCCCCACGATTAGACTTGCTGGAGCTGCTGATGTCCGAGAGCCTGGATTTTGGTGGGACTGCTCGGCCTGTGCCGTTGCTGAGATGAGGGAGCTGAACAATTGAGAGCTCAATCGTTGCAGTGGACTCTCCAGCAGCATTGGCTGCTATGCATGTGAAAGTCCCATAATCCTTGGAGGTGGTGATGAGGATATCTAAGGTGCCATTGTCATAGACAGCTGTCCTTGAAGAGTTCCCGATGAGACGGTCATCGGGGGCTACCCAGTGAATGATGGGGGTGGGATCCCCAATGGCTTTGCATTTCAGTGTGGCAGTTTGCCCTTCTAAAACCAGCAACTTGTGAGTATGTTGTGTAATAAGAGGAGGCTCACAAACAAATTCTTCCTCTCGTACGTACCAGAAGTACCTTCCCTTTAGACCTGGAGGAGAAGCACAAGTTTCCATATCGTCATCTCTGTCAAGTCGCCTTAACCACAGTAGCTCACAGTTGCAATGCAGAGGGTTGCCCCCAAAGCTAAGAGACAAAGGTGGAGAAAACGGGGTAACAGCAAATGGAATTACTTGAGATCTGGCAAATATAGGGTCAGGGGGGAGCTTCTGAAGTCTGTTGGATGTTAGATCCAATCTGGCCAATTTCTGAAGGTCTGCAAATGTCCCCTCTGTAATATAATCTATCAGGTTATGATCTAAACTGAGCTGGTGCAAGTTTATCATCTTCCTTATAGATTCCCAGGGAATGCTTCGGAGGTTATTGTAGGAAAGGTCTAAGTCTTCCAATGTCAGCAAAAAATCCTCAAAGGCTTCGTCAGAGATGCTGCTTAGCTGGTTGTTGTTTAAAATCAAATGTTGAAGGTTAATTAAGCCTCTCAAAATATCTTCTCCAATGTCAGGCAGCCTGTTGCTGTCCAGATGTAAAGACCGAAGGCTCTCCAAGTCAGTGAAAGAGTAGGGCTGTATGTAACTGATGGTGTTTCTGGACAAAGTAAGGTCAACAAGTCCAGACATATTGGCAAAATCCTGTCGGCTGATATTAATAATGAAGTTGCCCCCAAGTCGGAGTTCAACAGTCCTTCGATCTATGTCTAGCGGTACAAATAGGAGACCCTTGGAGGGACACAAAGTCCCCAGTGACTCAGACAGGTTCTGACAGACACAATATTTGGGACAAGCGCTGACCATGACAGCCATTCCAAACACCAGGATGCTGCAGAGCAATTTTTCCATGGTAAATCATGCAACAGTACCTGCAAGAAATGAGAAGAGTTATAAGGAACATCAGCAGTTTTGATGTAACTATCTTTCCTCTTATGTTTTACCTAACACCTACCTCCAAAGAGACTTCACAGTGCCTCCTCTCAGGAGTCACACCTAAAGCAGTCAGCACTCTGGGATGGGAAGTTTAAGTATTATAGCAACATGTTTTTCCACATAATGCATTTCTTTCTAAAAAAAGTGATTTTGGTTCCAAATCTAAATGGGATTGGAATTGTTAACACTTATGCCTGGTAATAGGGTCTTGTGACTACCTATTTTCTAGTTACATTTTTATAATTTTTATTGGGTAGCTGGTAGAGGACAAATCCTACCATCAGTGTGCATGGCTTACTTAAAACCCTGAAAGATTTCATTTGGAATAGTGCCTGCTTCTTTGAGGGTAGAAGCTGTCTTATAGTAATTACATACTGCTGCATAATAATGTGGAATTAGTCTTAGGGTTGAAAGAGCTGATTTTATGGATAAAAATAACTGCATATTTACCCTTCAGTAATGTGGTTAGTAATGACCATGTAATTATCTGGCCAGTCCTGGGCTGAGTCAGTTCACTTGCCAACCCATAACAAAATTCATGATAGGCAGCATAGAAAGCAGAAATCACTTGCATAGTTGTAACCTGGATTCACCCTGCGCTCAGCCAACCTATAGGAAGGATGACATCGCCTAGCTCCAAAGAGAAGAGATGTAGGGGAAACCTGTGGTACCTTAGGCTCCTAGCAAGCTTTCTGATGACCTCATGCTCTCATGCTGCAACCCTTTCTGTTGTAGTGAGACAGTAAAGCTCTCGCCTACCTCCACAGCCCTCTCCTGCATCCTGCCCATTTCTCTTTGCACTATTATCTCCCTTTTTTTTTAGCTCTCACATGTTTTTCCAGCTTAAGCTAAAAGGTATGTATCTTTGAATAATAATGAAATGTATTTACAGGCTGACTTAAAGGGCCAATTGTGGCTGGGGGAAGTTGCAGCCCTCCTTCAGGTTTGGGAATATCTTCTTACATGGGTTTTCTGACGTTCTTCCCACATGTGTGGGATATAGGTAAACTTGTTTTCTTTCTGCCGCACCCTTGCCCAGACGTTGCTATCAAGGAGGGCTGAGGAATGGGCAGATCATTCATTTCTAATCCTGTCCTGGTTTCAGCTGGGATAGAGTTAACTGTCTTCCTAGTAGCTGGTACAGTGCTATGTTTTGAGTTCAGTATGTGAAGAATGTTGATAACACTGATGTTTTCAGTTGTTGCTAAGTAGTGTTTAGACTAAAGTCAAGGATTTTTCAGCTTCTCATGCCCAGCCAGGGCACAAGAAGTTGGCACAGGACACAACCAGGGCACCTGACCCAAACTGGCCAACGGTGTATTCCATACCATGTGATGTCCCATCTAGTTTAGGAACTGGGAAGTGGGGGCAGGGAATCTCCGCTCGGGGACTAGCTGGGTGTCGGTTGGCGGGTGGTGAGCAATTGCCCTACGCATCATTTGTACATTCCAATCCTTTTATTACTACTGTTGTCATTTTATTAGTGTTACCATTATCATTATTAGTTTCTTCTTTTCTGTTCTATTAAACCGTTCTTATCTCAACCCACGAGTATTACTTCTTTTCCCGATTTTCTCCCCCATCCCACTGGATGGGGGGGAGTGAGTGAGCAGCTGCATGGTGTTTAGTTGCTGGCTGGGCTTAAACCAAAACAAATCCTCATTTTCCCTCTGAGGAAAGGGGCAGGTTGACAAAGAGCTATATATTTGTAAGGGATCTCCTAGGCTTTTTTGCCAAGACGGTGTGCTCTAGTCTCCAAGACCCTTACTTGTGGCAGTAGCTATGGACACGATTCAGGCTATAATTTCCAACGCAGCCATTTTGCCTCCATTTAACCTACATCACCCCACCATATAACCTTGCATCATTGTCCTTGGTCCTTGGTACACGCTCCATATCCCTTCTCAATCACGCAGCTGCTTGTACACTTAGCAGGTTTGGGGTGCTTGTGTTTCAAGAGTAGTCATGGCACAATAAGAGATGAGACACCCTCATGTTTCAGCAATTGCCCTTCCAGTGCCTAAGTGGTGGATGGCAGGCCGTCACCTGCGCCTAAGCTGGTTCTCTTACTGCTGTACACATGACGGGATAATACACAGTGTCTCGTAACAACTCCAGTAATTAGTACAACGAGGCCATTCAAACTTTAGCAAACATACAATGCAAGCAACACATTTCACATAAAAGTCACATCACAATTATTTACACTTCATCATACAGCTGAAATGACAATTATGCAGATGTTTTATAATAATTAAAAGAAATTATAAAAGTTAGTTATTAATCTCCCAGTAACACACACCAAACACAAAACAAAATCTATCACTTCAGCAATTTTTTTTTTAACTCTTTAAACAAGTCTTGCCCAATCTCCCTGTGAAAGGAATGAAAACTAGGGCCCTATGTGTGGGGCTCTGCCCAAAGGTGGCCAGTTACTCTCCTGGGTAAGGTGGTTTGGTTTGTCCTCTATGGAATTTGTGAGGTGACTCAGAGAAAAAGAGCTGTAGAAATGCAAGATGTTATGAGTGCTGAATATATGTATGAGTGCATGTATAGTATGTTCTTTATGGCAAGGTTTTCTGTATGGTGTGATGTTAGTAATTATATACTGTTATTACTATTTCATAGGAGAGGAAAGGACTGAAGCATCTGTGTTTGCTGAACTCTGCAAACAAGATGAAAGCGAGATACTTTTAGAAAGGATGGCTTGGGAAGAGTAATCTTACCTTCAATAGTAAATAAAAGGCTACTGAATAAAACACTTGGAGATTAGCAAGTATGTTATTGATGCAAATCTGTGGCATACTTAGCAAAATGCTATAAATATCTCTTACATTATTATCAATTGGTAGTTTACTAACAGGCAATTGGCTTTTTGAATCTTAATTATAATTGTGTTCTGCAGATTTAATGTATTACCCTATCAGCTGAAATTATAAACAAAAAGCAGTTTAAAAGGGGGAGAAATAGATACAGTTAATTAGTAATAAGCCCTTTCATAGCTTCTCCCTCATCTACATTCCCACCCTCTGAATATCTATTCAAAAATGTGAATGCACACTTACGAGAGCAGTGTCTCCTTTAAGTGTCCCAATTCTCGAACCACATTTTTTCCAGATGCTGTTAAATATCACAGTGCTTTGGGGAGAGTGACTCTAAGCATCAGAGTGAAAAGTATTTGTAAAAAAAAATGGGGGGAGGAAGAGAAGTTAATTACAGAAAATAGGGACTGCAACACTGAGAGGAGGCTGTGAAGCAGGAGGTCTAAATGGCAAAGTAAGCCCTGATGGGGAAACCATCTGTGGATGGCTTGAAAGCGCATCATCTGCCTGTGTTTGCATGCACGCGTGAAAAAGACACAGAGCGCGCAATATGTGCTTTTACCAGCAGGAGGGCCAGTCAGTAACAACAGTACTAGGATGGAAATATCATGGCTACTGTCATGCCAGTTATTGAATGCATTTGAAAGTATTAATGTAAATATTGTTTGTCTGCAGAATAAATTTTTAGTCTTTGTGATCTTTTGTCTACATCGGTATTTCAAGCTTCTGAGCCTTGGGTTTCTCTATAATGTAATCCTGAAGTGACCAGTTCACAACACAGCAAATAGGGTACAAACCCAAAGGGCTAACTATAGGACATCAGAGAGAACAGAGGTGGACAGGACTCCTTAGACAACATCTGGGGTTTCCATGGGGCAGCTGGTTTTCCTTTTTCTCTCCAGACAGACAAAGTACCTGGGCCACAGATGAGGTAAGAATTCTCAAGTCTGCACAATTATAACAGTGTCTTCTAAAATCTAGACTCTCCCAGAAAGTCATAGCAATTGCTAGTTGCCAAGGGGATGGATGTATAATAAAAATTGTTATGATTTTGGTTCTGGTAACTTTCATATAAGACAGAAAATAAAGTGTCAAGTTTAGGGTCTGGTTTTGCTGACCAGTTTGCTCACCTTGTTCCCAAAATCTCTTGTGACCTGCAACAGGAAGCATTTTATGGGCTGCTAATGGTAGCCTTGTGATAAGCTCACTATTCTGATTTACATTTTAAAGGTATATATCAGACAGATAAAGTAGATTTCTCACAGCAAGTCAGTAAATCTGGCAGAGTTTCTGTCTCAGCCCAAGATGAAAAATAGCCCCTCTAGTCCTCTTATAACATGGATTCTTATGAATTAATATGTGCGAGAGTCATAAAGCTTGGTGTTTTGTATTCAAATTTTCCTCATAAAGATACAACTTCTGAGATTCGGCATCTCATTTCAGGAATGTCTCTGAGGCATTTTTTAATTCTATATTCATTGAGCTTTGCATATAAATTCCAATAATCTTTGTGTACCACAGCACCAAGTACAAGGTAACTGTCAGACAAATAAGCTATAGCTGCAGCATACAGGCTGGGGAAAAAAAGAAAGACAAAAAAAAAAAAAGAGAGGTGGATGGATAGGGGCTCTGATTCTGCTGTCTCCAAGTGCCCTGGGACCCAAATTCCAGGGACTGTATGGGTGAGTTAATATACTTTTCTTCAGCTTTGTAGGTGCTGTGGAGGAACTGGATTTCCTTTTCTGGGAGCTGCTCTTTTCCTTTTTCTTAGCCTTCTCTTATCTCTGGTTTCAGTGAACCTCTGTGACTAGGAAATTTACCTCCTCCCCCCAGCTGCAAAGCTTGAAGGACTGCAGTGATGGGTGAAGTTTCATGCATATTCTCTCAAGCAGTTTAATTTACAATGTGTAAAATGGGATGGGACTATGTCAGGACAAAAATTACTCCTTAATCCCTTGCCTTGCCAAAAACTGTGTGGGAAAGGTAGGTCTCATGTTCTCCCTGACCCATGCAGGTATTTTATGTCTAATTCACCAAGCATTGACAATGGCTGTAAGGAAAGTAAATGTCTCTGCATCTGAATCTGTCCTCAGT